CGAGTACCTACTACTGTGTATTTTAAAATAGGCGCTCTCGAACTAACGTCCTTAGTCTGATGTAATAGTCACAGGCACACAAACCGAGAAATCCACCATTCAGTAGCGTTTTGGCGACAGGGTGCTATTATATCTGGTATAGGTAACGCTTCCGCCAGCGTGTAAATCTGTCCCGAATGTAGCCTGTATAGTATTGAATTTTCAATGACAAATGTGTGATACTTTAATAAATGAAATAAACAAGTTTTCTTAAAGTTGTGTGGGAATATGAATAAATTGGTCTAGACATTGGTCCTAACTTATATCCCTAAAATAATGAATTGCGATCCTCCTTTCTCAGCTTATTACATTATCTTTAGCTTTAGTAGAGTATCTATATCTCATTTGAAGATGATTTAATACAATTTAGCTGAAGCGAAGCAAAATGTATTATAAATTAAGTGAGTATATGACCTATAGTATAACTTAAAAATACCAAATTTAATTGTTATCCATTTACAATTTCATCGAATAATGAATATAGAATTATTTTTACAACATTTTTATACCTCGCAGCCTGTTGCTACAGAGTATAGTTTGTTTCTTCCGATTGTTAGTATCACCTAAAACTAGTCGAGAGATATAAGTTATGTATATAATATAAATGATCAGAATGAAGAGACGAGTTGAAACTGGATGACTGTCTGTCCGTCCGTCGTCTGTGCAAGCTGTAACTTGAGTAAAGATTGAGATATCTTTATGAAATTTCTGGTACCGTAAGAAGTTGGTATTGCAGATGAGCTAACCGACCACAGCCACGCCCACAAACGACATTTGTCAAACAAAATTGCCACAACTAAGCTCCACAAAGATACAAGACTGTTATTTGGTATACAGGATCACATTAGGAGCATCTGTAATTCAAATTTTTATAAAGTTGGCGTGGTCCCGCCCCTTATAAATTTCATTTCCTAAACCGCTAAAGATAAACAAAATTCAATGAGAGCAAGTGTTTTTAGCACTTATATCGACAGTGTGAGAATGGGGATTCAGGTGACAACCCAGCCTCTCCATATAACGGTACAGTAAACACGTCGGAGACATTAAATTTATCTCTGGGATGACAGTGGGCGTACCACCGTCACTTTAAGGCGAAAGCCCATGTCTTGGGATCTGCTTAACGCTTTCAACCAACTTTGATACATAACATTCTTCTCATATTTCTATGTTATAGTGCGAAATGGGCGAAATCGGATTATAACCACGCCTATTTCATATAACACCATTTTAAATTCCATCTGATTCTTTCACTCTTCCACTATGCAAATCAACAATGATTGTATCTCGAAAGGCTTAGCGTGAATAATGGTTTAGTATGCCACTTTGTGACCAAAATTGTCTAAATCGAATCAAATGAATATGTGGACCCCAGTGCTTATGGTTGACTTTATCAAAAATATCGGTCAATATGTAAATATATATAATTTAAATGCATATAATAAAATAAATAAATGAAACTCTCGATTATAGACAATACGTAACGAACGAAGTGTCAGTTTTTTGTTCACAAGAATTAATAGATATCGTTCTAAATTTATTTACGGCAATACGTGTCTTGCTAACACTGTTTCGGTAGTTAGTGTAGAGTGCAGGTTCTTTAATTGAAACTTACCAAAACCTCTCTGCGCTCTACAATGTGTAAAGGACTTGGCAATACTATCAATTGAAAATAAAGTGGCACAAACTCCTACAATAGATGCGTATGATTTAAAGGCACGCAAATATTTAAATAATTAACTTTTTTATTGTACTACTAATTATAATAATTTATATTAATTATGTTACACCTTTGGAGTATGAGTATTTTTTAGTAAAATGCCCTGAATAATTTTCAAAAGTTATAAATTTTGTTGTTATGGCAAAACGAGCTTAGAAGAAGGTACTTTATAGCTGAAAACCTCCACTTTCAGAAAAAGTGTTTTTATTTCGAATAACTTAACCGATTTAAAATTAGGTGGAATGTCCGAAATCCCTATTTCGGGTATATATGTATATGTGTATAGCTCTTGTCTGATTGCATGAAATTTTGACATTACTTAAGTATAATTGAGTACATATAGTCAATAAGAACTACGAAAATTAATATACTTGTATTTATATTTTTTTTCATTTTGCTAAGATATTTTTTGGCATTAACTGATATATACAGTGGATGGTCAAGCAGAACACTGAAATTCTTATATTAGGTCAATGAAGGTTAGCGACAGTATTAAATTTCAATATATTTCAATTTTATCCAATTTTTGGCATCACTATAAATATGATCTTTGAGATTCAAATGGAAAGATTGAAATTAAATGGAAGTTCGAGAATTTTTATATTAGGTATATGGAGCCCTGAAATTCCTTAAATACATAACTGAAAATCACAAGAAGATTATTTAAGGACCCAAGACATTTCTCAAATTACTTACTTAGGATCTCTTTCCCTCATGTTGTAAGTGACTATTAAAAAGCTGCCTGAAGAAATTTGCTATCATGCACTTCACAGCCGGGTTTGACGCTGTTTAAGAACAATCCGAAAAAGAGGGCAAGCTTAATGCTAAATTCAAATTTTATTTGTGCGTTTCCAATTTTTTTTAAATTTCATCAGCTTGTGTTAACATACACTACAATCGTATGTGTCCCCACCTCTGCTCATGTCTATTAAATTGATTTTGTCAATTACCAGGGAGTTATCAGACATATTTTTTGTACACGCAAAATTGTGTAAAAAGTATTGAATCGCGCAGAGTCAAAGTGAAGACATTCTAAAATTAAACTTACTTAACGAACATAGCGTTTTATGACTCGAAACTTGATAAAAAAACCAAGAATTTCCATGTGGGCTATTCTACTACAGAAATATGCATCACATTCTGAAGCTAATTTTTGAACCGGTGAGCAATTATGACGATGCTATATTCTGTGGTGAGACGAAGATGATGTTGTATTACAACGATGTACTTAATACAGTATAGCGCAAGGCATTGACTTCATTAGAAAGACGATACATCATTCCGGCCGTTAAATTTGGAAAAATATCTGTGACGTTTTTGGGATGCATTTCATACAAATGAGTAGGAATATCAATATGCCAATTTGTCAAAGAGTGCTGTCAAATTTGGGTTTATAACAAATAACAAATTTCCATTTTTACGAAGATATCCACTAAACACAACTGCGGCAATGTAATTAATACACCGTCTGAGAGTCTTGACTTAGAACCTATTGAAAATTTGAGGTCGTGTTTAACATAACATGACAGTAAACCGAAATTCTAGAGGAGTGTTAGAAGAATAAGCCTAACATTTATAAAGGGTCCATTTCATGAGAAAACAACTACGATGCATTGTAAACGGGTCATCATACTATTTATGAAACATATCTTAAAGACGAATTACTTAATATACATATTTAACATATATAAAAGTTCATGTTATTATTTATGAAAAGAGTTCCTCCGCACAAATAAAATTAAATAAAATTTCTTTATAGTTTTTATGTTAGATTTTGCATTGAACTTGCACTTTTCTTATTTATGTATTAAAAATGACTGATTAAAAACAGAAATGAATGTAATATTTATATATATTATATATATCCATATAAATATCGACCGGTAAGATTTAACATTTCGAGTGAAATGAAATTTATTCCACATCACAATGAAATTTACGAATATAACACAAATTTGTTATAACCACAGAAGGATTGAGAAGCTTACATTGTATAGCAACTCTAGCACTCTTCGCGTAGGAAGTAAATAGACTTATGAAGTTTATAAAAGTTCAAGTTTTTTTCGGTCAATATATCTGTCAGTTTATATAAGGAATTACTTTTCAATTTTTAGTTTGAAGTGCATTAAAATGGTGGTTTTTAGTTTATTTTTAACTATATTTATTTTACACCCTTTAGTTTAATGCGCCATAAAAGCAAGTTTTTAGTCTTTTAAACCATTTTTACTATTTAGCCACACGTGGTGTTTTCACTTTCTTTAAGGATGTGTTAGAGTAAATTTGTTATTCAAATGACACCATGGAATGTTCATTCTTTTAGCTGCATAGTTTCACCATTTTTTTTTTTTTTTTTTTTTTGCAGTGCCTATCACCTGTTGATTCGTTAATCAGTCCCATTCAGTTTCAGTGCCACTTATAAATGTACAATCATACATACTAATACCCATACAAACATACAGATGAAGCTAATAAAAGCGTTATAGAAAGAGGAAACTCGGAAATTAAATGTACGAATGACGTACCTTAAAATACACCAACAGTAAAATGTGATGACACTTTTCTTATCGACATCACCATATAACTTGCCATTATATTTCATCTAATTTTCGCAACTCCTTGATGGGCTTACTTTATGCGCTACGAACAAATATTTTGCATAAAGATATATAATAAAATTATTGTATTTATTAAGAAAGCTTTTGGATTTATTAAAAAGTGGACAAAACTGCACCCAAGATGAAAAGGAGTATTAATTCTTTTAACGATTGAAATGACATCCCTGCTACCAGGAGTACATCGAATATCACGGGTAATGTTTTGCTTAAAACGGACTTATACAAGTTTTTTTTGTTTAAAAACAGAGTTAAAAATAGTTTATCAATAAATAAAAGCGTTTACGAGTGCACCAAACGTCTAAACATTTTTATATTTTTTGCGTAAAATACTTCACCGAGCGAATTCTATTACCGATGCACACGTTGAATAACTGGTGGTTCGATTACATATATCTTAACAATGTTTACTGTTACAGTTTTAAGAGCATAATTATTCATATTTAAAATTACTTTTGAACGATAATTAGTTGTACAGTCGCACTCATTAATGTTTCTTAAATTTCCAGTACATACAAATTGGATTAATCAGAAGTTATGGTATGTTACAATATGTATGTACCTTTGCTTCAGTCATTAGTGCAGACTATACATATATATATATATATATATATATTATTATATTTATATACCTCCGTCAGCGTAAGTCTCACAACCGTAGCCATCTTGATAACCCATATTCCAGGTTCCTTCGTACCTAGCAGTAGAAACAGTACTTTCTCGAATACCATATCTTCCCTTATGTCCATCTTTTGACCACTCGCCTCGATATATTTGACGTCCAATTTGCTCCACACCCAAACCATGCCTTCGTCCATTTTGCCATTGGCCTTCATAATGTGAACCGCTAAATTAAAATTAATTTATATAGTTTGCAAGTATCTCGTGAATTTCATTAGCTGGTAGTTTTGAATGGTTATGTTATAAAATTTAAGGAGACCCTGTTCATTTCTGAGAATTAATACTCGTATTATTCTATTTGCTAAGTATTATGAATCCCTTTAACAATACATCAATCCAATTTTTTTTTGATAAAATATAACTATACTATCTGTGGTCTACAAGGTGCGTTCCAAAGTAAACAGTAAAAAAGTAACAAAGTAAACTCTAGTGGCGCTATCTATATGTCGACTAGTGCGTTTGAATCTGCTATCCTTTATCGACTTCCAGTAAAAATTTCATGATATTTCATCTATTGGAGGTGAAGTTATTGCGTTTTAAGTGTCAGTACGTTTTTGTCATCGGTGCGAAAATGAGCTTCGAACAAAGAGCCAACATTAAATTTTGTTTTAAAATTGGTAAAACTTTTACCGAAACGTTTCAATTGATGAAACAAGTTTATGGCGATGATTGCCTATCCCGTAGCAGAGTGCACGAATGGTTTCAACATTTTCAAAAAGGTCGTGAGGACATAAATGAGAAATGAGCCGAAACCCAAAATATCGCGCCTGGAGAAGTCAAAAGTGAAGACAATGCTGATTTGTTTTTATGATTCCAATGGTATTGTCCACAAAGAATTTGTTCCACCTGGCCAAAACGTTAATGCGGTTTCTACCTTGGAGTTTTGAAGCGTTTGGTGCGTCGTATTTGACGTGTTCGACCCGAATATCGCGAAGATGGAAGTTGGCGTTGTTGCACGATTCGACTTCTATTTTTCGGAAAAATGCATTTACCGATGAAAGGAAAGCGTTATGCAGACGTGGAGGCCATTTAAAAGGCTTGCACCGGCATACCTTCTATATTTATGTTTCATTATATAATCTTTGAACTAATATTAGGCTTACAACCTCTCTGCTTCTGATTTATTACAAGAACAAAACGTTTTGTAGCATATTTATAAATTCACGTCATAAACAAATAATGAAACAAGTTGAATTGAATATACCTATTTAACCGAATTCCATGTACTACTGCATCTAAAAACAATTTTAATAGAAACTTGTTTTAAAGCTGAGGTCGTTAACCGAAATCATATATTCAAAGAGTTGAAACCAGTTTTAATGATTCGTGCTCCTATTCCTCAGTCGTTCCACCTGCTGTCACTGATTTAAGCAAACAAATCGTCATATTGTGCTCCTGCTTACCCGTGCTATTAACCCATTAATTCCCAAACCATATCTGCTAGTAGAAAATTGTTTTTATTGTTATTTATTAATTCATTAATGGACATATAGAAGTTTTTTGAGAAAAATGGTATAACAATATTTATCTGCATTTATGCTGCCCTATTCTGATACTCAAATAAAACTAGTTTTCCCATTATAAACTGTTTTGCTAGATATCGGCGAAAGTATTTAATCATGGACTCATCTACTGAAAGTATTTCACGAAAAACTCCCCATTGACCAGAATTTTCCTGAACAAGATTACATATAAAGCTTTAAACATTTTGTCAATTGAACAAGTGGCTAGACTGTTATCAACAAAATGCCTATTTCGACTTAATGCAGTTAGATCGATGTCAATAATTATTTTGACACAAATCCGGACCTCCACAGATCGCTTATTATCATATATTAACAAAGTTATATACTTGTTTTTGAACCAAATCAGTGGAGTGAAGTTTCATGAACTTCAAACTGGTTCTCCAAGCTTACTTTGATCGACTCTTTTTCGCTTAGTAAAGCATGCAAGGAGCTCTTCATCACTTTCATTTCAATTGGAATCGTCTTGGCGACGTGGAACTACCTCAAATATTCCATTCACACCATTCGGCATGGTAGATCATACTGAATCAATCAATAATTTACCTTCTCTTCATTACTTACAATGGCAGGGTCGGGAGGGAGGACTACTACAAGTATATCATATTCAAAATCATCGTACTCTTTCTTTATTGTCCAACCAACGGCTTCAGGTAGCTTAAAAAAATAATTCTAACCCTTAAATACCTTTTGATATGCTATACTTATGCTTATTGAAATTTTAGTAGTCCTTACTTAGGGACATCACTATGAATATATTCCTTTTTAAGCTAAATGTGTTTTCTTTCAACACCATACGATTTCTAAAAGTTTGTGCATTCTTCACTTCATATTTTAGCCTAAATTTTAGCCCCAAATATCTCCCTTCCGCTTTTTTGCTCTTCATTCAATGCTTTATAAAAAGTGTTACAGTGATCGTATTTAGTTAAAATATGCGCCGTTTTGTTCGATGATCCGTTTCCATCTAGACGGCAACTTCATAATACCTTCCTCGAAGAAGCCCCCCTCCTTATTTGCGAAGAATTCGGACAACGAAGTGTGTGGTCTGGCGTTGTCCTGGTGGAACACTACACCCTTCCTGTTGGCCAATTCTGGACGCTTCTGGTCGATCGCCTGCTTCAAGCGGTCCAGTTGTTCGCAGTAGATGGTAGAATTAAGCGTCTGGCCATATGGGAGCAGCTCATAGTGGATGATTCCCTTCCAATCCCACCAAACACACAGCAAAACCTTCCTGGCCGTCAATCCCGGCTTGGCCACTGTTTGGGACGATTCACCGGCATTCGACCACGACCGTTTTCGCTTGATATTGTCGTATGTGATCCATTTTTCGTCGCCAGTCACCATCCGCTTCAAGAATGGGACGAGTTCGTTCCGTTTCAGCAGCATATCGCAGGCGTTGATTCGGTCCAGAAGGTTTTTTTGCGTCAAATTATGCGGCACCCAAACATCAAACTTTTTTTTGTATCCAGCCTTCTGCAGATGGTTCAAAATGGTTTGGTGACTAACTCCCATCTCCTGGGCGATGTCACGAGATGCCATATGCCGGTCTAACTCGATGTATTCCATGATTTGATCGGTATTTGTCGTCACAGGTCTTCCGCCGGCTGGCTTATCCATGGTGTCGTTTTCACCGGCTCTGAATCGTCGAAACCATTCCTCCGCGGTTCGAAGTGATAGAGTACCATCCCCCAAAACACCATTAATCTCACGGAACGTTTCTCTAGCGGATTTGCCTTTAACGAAGGAAAACTTTAAAATAGCGCGAATTTCGGCGTTAGTGAACTCCATGTTTACACGTCTATAACTGTTGAACGCAATATCCAAACTAATCATGCATAGCGTTGTTTTGTAGGTTATGTCAAGACCTTTCAAATTATGTATAGTGTTGCCAGATACGAGCTCTGTAGCGCTTTGTACATAGCCGCGAAATTCAAAAGACAAAAAAGCGGAAGGGAGATATTTGACAACCTTATATATTGGAAAATATATATAGTATAAATAATCCACAAGAATTAACTCGACGAAATATCTACCTTTTAAGCGCTAGGAATTACTCTTTGTTGACGCAATCAACATAAAATTATTAGTTTCCGGTTTTTACGATACAGATATCGCTATTTGAAGAGGTTCTCGGGTGGGGACAGTGGGCTTAATGGGTAATTGCTAAATCTGTTGGTGACAAATGTATCTCTATTCAGCAGATATTTCTGATTGAACAAATTAATTCTATTTTGTCTGCACATATGCATTTGGTGAACTCATCAGGCATCAACCAATATTTACGAGGGAATTGAGGTAAAACTTAAAACGTATCATCATTTTAGATGTCCGTTCGTAAGTTCGTTTAGATGTAAGTTCGTAAATAGTGACAAAAACTCTACTATCGTGTATCCCGGTTAACAGCAACTTATATTTATCCAAATAGATATTTATTAGGGCGGGCCGAAAATCCGTTTTTTAGAATTTTCATTATTAATACCGAACTTTATATCGATCGGAAATTTTAATTCTCTACAAAAAAGGTCCTATAGTAAAGTTACGTAAAGTTGATAGCTTCTGAGATAATTGCGATTTTCCTCTAAAAAATGAGATTTTTCAATATGGTATTAATTTTTCTAGATGAAAAATGTATCTGATCTTATTATTTTCATAGGGAATTCTATTTTCTACTGCATAAATGTAAAAACAATTTTTCTAGAGTTGATTGGTACTGAAATAACGACCATTTCGCTATAAGGTAAGAAAAAAATTTTCCAAAAACTTTTAACTTTAACTGGATTTGGCAAGCCGAAAATGTCGACCGAAAATTTTTTTTCCAGAAAATATTTTTTTTTTAACAAAGATTCGGTATTAATAATGAATATTCTAAAAAAACGGATTTTCGGCCCACCCTAATATTTATGTCTACAGATAACCATACTTTTATGGTAGCCGATTTTAGATTATATAAAATTAGATGGTAAAATAATTCTGCTAAGTTAAAATGTATAGCTAAAAATTTTGTATTTTAATAATAATAATCAAAATAATGTAGGTTTTAATCAGTTAAAGATATTGTTAGATGTTATATTTGTTCTTGTTATTGTGTATTGGTATATTCATTGGTATCAATTTCTGATTGTGATTTTCCCCATGTTCTTTCAGATACAAAACTAAGATATTATATTTTAAGTTTTACCTCTTATCAGATGTGAATAAATTTCTTTAAATTTCGCATATTGTGCTACCTAAGTTAAAACTCTCTTTAAGGCCTTACTTTTGTGGTACATTCGAATGATTAGAATTGTACAAAAATTATACTTTTGTTAAGTGAAAGCAGGAATGATGGTCGCAGTAAAAGGTAGATTTTTAAACTCTCAAACATGTCTATGCATTTCGAATTTTCTGTAAAATACAATATTTATTTCTCTATTACGTCTATATATATAGTTATTCAACATGGTTCGCTTAATATATTTATTTTCGAAAGGTTTTCAGCTCGATTTGAATTTTCTTTAGAAAACGTTTTGTTGTTATTAACGGCCCTATTGCTTGAATAAAATTTTTTAGAAACCTTTTTTGTGGGGATACATTAAAAGGAAGTGCATGAGTAGTAATACAATATTATATTATATTATATATACTTTATTTTATTGCTACCTTAAGTTATTTGTCTGTAGTATGTTATTTTTAGTCTGTAAGTTATTCTTCTGATTTAATTAATTTAAGTAAATAAATAGAAACAAACAAATTACCTTGGCCAAATATATGCACCAGATACTTCAAAACCATAATTCCATGCACCGGCATATGCTCCTTGATGCTTTGGCCCGGTACAAACGCCATGCCCATGGGCCTTGCCGTCCTCCCATCCGCCACAAAACGTTCCTCCATCCTCAAAATCGAAGCGCCCACCATTTATTTGAGGGCGTTTTAAACCGTCCAATGTAACAGAGCTGTGAGGGTCGTTTGTAGATGAAGGCTTCTGTACTCCAAAAGAATTCATTGTAGTAGTTGTATCTATCGAAATCTGAATTCGAATATTTTTTAACAAATGTTATTCGTTTTTCTTTAAAATATTATTTTGCTTAAACCATGGTCATGTACTATTTTAAAGAAGTATACAGTAGTCTACTTTTCATTCCTTGTACAGGTATAATAAATTCGATTAACCTGTATTTTTTCTCGTTGAGTACAGTATATAATTTGTTTGCGACTATTGAGTGTGCTGCTTACTAAAAAGAAGAAAGTAAAATATGAATGAAAATATATAATATAGGACCATTCTATTGAAAGGTAATATTTTTTTGTATGTGTTATTAGTTATTTAAATTTTATATTCTATATAATCGTATGTAAATATATATTTTTTTTTTTATTTTCTATTGTATAATAAATAAATTATTGGTGGTACAGAAATGGTACAAAGTTCCGACCCGTGTAAGCGAATACATTTGTTGAATTTTTATCAACAAACAGGAATCATTCAATGAGCTCTGCCCTTTGGGTGTGAAAAATTTAGATTGGATTCCAGAACAAATAAAATGAAATGAGTTTCTACACGAAATTACTTTCGCCAGCAATCTTTCTCTCCATCACACAAAGTGTGTGTCTAAGTAATGATAAATGTGCGTAAGTTTTTCTGGATGTCATATAGAGTGACTAAATACTATAACATTAGTGAAACATAAAATTTTGATGTTTTTATAATATTGCAATGTAATAAACAATTTTAATAAAGTGAATATATTAGTTAAAGATCAAAATTCATGTATTAGTACACTAAAAGCAGAGCTCACACCTTTAACTTTGCCACCAAAAGTTTACTATGGCTACTAATAGAAAATAACCTCTTACTTCTCTTCCAAACAATGTGTTGGATTATTTATTAAATATAGCTAAAACTTAAGAAAAACTTAAATTTCTTGACGCAAGGAATCACATATTATTCGACAAGTTTATTAATTTTAACAAAGAATTTAATATTATAATTTGTAGGGACTATTTGTTGTAAATTATTTTACTCAAAATGCGTTCTCGAAAAATACAAAATATTGAAAAACACAAATATTTTTTATGAGTATATTCAACACATACAGATAATCAATAGGTATGTGGAAATATCTGGAACCGACATTATTTAAATGTAAAGGTAGCGATATATTCGATACTTTATCTGTGCACCATAACTAATCATTATTGTAATCTGTATTCAAGTTAGTTGTGCCAATTTCATTGTAAATTACTATATTTTCCCTATCCCCATCTCATTTTGGCAAAAAACTAAATTATGCCTAATAAAATATTTCAGACTGAGACTAATACATTCGGATAAAGCCAACTAAAACATAAACTTACATAAACTTGATTTATTTATGGTAGAGATGTAAAATTTCACCTCAAAGTGGGCTATGCCATCCAAATTGTTCAATTTCAGAACTGATTTACATAAACTGCTGTACTATTGTTACTGCTTAATCACAGTTTCTGTTATTTTTTGCTTCTCAGTTACAGCAACTTTACCTTATTTCCAAAACGAACTATGAATATCTATGAAGGAGTGTTTTCATTTACATTGGGTAAAACAACAAATCACTACTATACTCTTAAAGATTGAAATGCATTGGTATCATAAAACGCAATACACTTTTTACTTATTTTATCATGTTAGAGAAATTTCTTCTATCAAATTGATCCCTTATCTAACAGGATATCATTTTTCTAAATAAGAACCAACTTAAAGGAAATAAAAAACCATACTAAGCATATAAGTGCATATATGTTTTTATAAAAATAAGCAATTTCTTCACTTTTATGAAATGTAAAATAAAATATATATCTTTTTATTTACTATTGTAAATATAATTAATACTTTAATATCAATTTATCTGCCAAAACATATCTATACTCTCTACTTATGCCTAAAGAAAAAAATATTTTCTGCGAATAACTTTCAATACAACAGTTCATTAGTTTATAAATTCTATTTGGCAGTTAAAAGTATTTAAATAAACTGTAAAAACTTTGTCTTTAAGTATATTTCCAAACCCTTTAAGGCACATTGTGCTTCATTTACTTAAATCCCCTTAATAAAATCCGTTTGAAAATTTTGTATATAATAATAGTTTGGATATACATACGAATCTTTCATTACACTTAAAAAAATCAATCTAGAGGACTTATCTGTAAAGTTAATAAATTATCGGATAGCATGAAATAAGCATGAAACCACTGTGATAAAAAAATTTATGTACACTATAAAAGTAGATGTATTATATAATCTAATTTTACCCTTATTAATGTAATAATAGGAGTAAAGATTAACTTAATTTTTTTCCTTTTGTTCCTAGTTATAAATTATACATGTATCCGTACAAAATTTTGCATGCGACAGCAACTTTTAACCAAATGTATTAAAGGAATAAGATACTAATCACAATTTCAACTTTATAAAGTTAAAATGTTTATCTATAATAGTAATATACTTGCACTTGTGGAATATTTAAAACCACTACTGTGCAAGCCTTATTGTAAAACATTTATTTATATGTACATTGCTATAGTTTTTACTTTGCGTGCCACATTTCAATAAATCAATGCGGATATTTTTAGCCATAGAACACAATATACACACTCTGTAAGGCAGAATTCCCACAAAGTAACAATCAACAATATTTTTTAATAGTTTAAATAATTATAAAGCGAAGTAAAATGAAATATTTTTCTTGTAGTAGCTTGTTACCACAAATATACGAAGCTCACATATTGCACTTGTTTCTATCTGCTATAATTGTCCGTAATTAAAAATGCACATTTCTTCTATTTATATATTAAAATTAATTAAAAAAAAAACTCATTTACTTAGCTAACAACAAATCGCAAGATTCTATTTTAATATTTCAAAATTTTTAATTCCAGTTTTTTAAACATTTAAAATGTTCTATATATTCATTATAATTTTCACTGGGATCCGCAAAATACAACACAAACGATTACCTTGCGTATAAGTTAAAGCTCTTTGATTTTAAAATAATAGAGCGCGTGCTCTTACATATACTATAACACTGTATCTGTATATTAATTTACTTATATATTTTCTTGATTAAACGGGCATATGCGTTTATGTACATACGCTTATGCACTCAAGTGCACACCTATACACATGTCCAACTCATACGGATAGAACATCGATCGCAGCTATATAAACAATGGGTACTAAATTACCGAATGCCAGATCTGCATTTTTAAGATTCAAATATTGTCGAGAGTGTTGCTTTTGTTCAATTTTTATTAATACTTAGTTGCTATTACTTCAATTTAAATAATGTCAGTGTTTGGAAGCACTAGGCGTAATATATACCTTTAATTTAATTTTAGAAATTTTGAACATAAAAATGTCAATAAAGGTCTTAACTTAAAGGAATATTTTTTATTAAAATACGTTATCATAGCTCAAGATATTAATAAAAAAAATTATTTTTTATTTAATAACTGAAAAGTTAAATTACTTGTATAATAAGGTAATAATTAATAGCGCTGTTTCTATGTACAAGTATGTATGCTCTTTATTTAATACACATATAATATATAACAAAATGAGCAAAATAGCTAGACAAATTGATTACCTGATATCTGTATATCCTTCCGTCTGTCCGGCAAACGATATCTTGAATAAAAATAGATATATCCCAATGAATTTAAGTGCTCGTATTCCTTGGCACTTTGAAAACCTTGGTATTGCTAAGAGGTGGTATCGGGTAGTTGTCACGACGGTAAAGAACTTAAGTTGGTATAATTTAGTCAAAATTTGAAAGGGTTCCCAAAAATAGCGGCCATAAATGAATTTGTTTACCTTAAAGCCCCGCGCTTTAATAGGTTTAGTATACAATATTTATTGGTTTATCCATCCAATGTTTACATTCAAAAATTTGTTTCGTGCAAACCATTTTTTCTGTGTTCTTTGAGCCAAAATATTGTACACGTACTTTTTTATTTCGACAAAATATGAACCCTATTGGTGTAATGAATTTTCAAAATTTCAGCGCTCGCAAAAATACGTTTAAATATTTGCATATACGAAGAAAGTATCTCATTATAAAAATAACTTGCCGACCTAACGTTTACTATTTTTATCACTTTGTCAATGAGAAATATGTTCAATTTTCGATATTTTCTTAAAAATAAAAGGTAAACTTTTATAAATATTTTTGTTTTTAATTTGGAACTATTTTTACTCAGTTATTTTCACTAACACTTTTTACGAACACTTACGTGTACAATATTTTGCTTCAAAGGAAAGAAAAAGAATGTTTTTGCATGAAAAAAATGTAAATTTTGGATGGAATGACCCATATACTTATAGTTATAGTTGCATTTGATTATATCATTCCATAATTTCAAAATAGGTGATTTCGCTATAACGGGTACTTTCAAGAACTATCAATTTTATTCTTTACATTAATATATAACACCATGCATCTAATATACATTTTATTTGTTCTTAAACTATAAAATTCTATCTTAAATTTACACAGAATCTTATACAAATATTACAAATGGTTGAAATTTTCTTAATTAGAATATATAAATACAAATATTATATATTTTAATTTATTCCATTTTTCTTTAAAATTGCTATCATGCATTGTCGTAATACCATTAATATGGGAAGGATCCATTTTTGAAAATGCCTAATCAATTTTTGTATCCGCAGATAGTTGAATATTCTACGCCAAACAGGGAACCAAAGCTTTTTTTCTTATTGTAGTCGCTGTAGACTTTGGGATGTAGTCCAGGTCGTCTCCGAGTTGGTGCGTCCTGAATAACGCTAAATGAGTTGCGGCCTTCACGGCCTTACAAACTCCTGGATTGGATTTTATCTTTGACATGGATTATGATTAGAAGTTGACGTTTTTGGATTTCGTTTTGAACCCTCGGATAGTGGTTGCGATATTCTGCCACATGAGTATACTTGGGTTATACCCAGCAGAAATGGATGGTTGAAATGACTACCTCTTTACGCTGATCGGGTCTGAACGCATCGTGAGAGATAACCTTGGGACAATTAAAGGCGACAACCTTTCGGGGGACAGGTAGCGGCTCTGAGAGGGGACCCATTTAGCAATGAACTTTCCCGAATTACGGTACGAGCGAAACCACCAGTATCCACAGGTTAACATCGGATAGAGTTATGAGAGGCACTACGAATACAAAGGGCGGAAATAGGAAGCGCAAC